CATCCACTCGCCTCTCAGCCTCTCCATTTAGGCAGCGAACCATGTGGCAGAAAGGACCTGAGTGATCACGAAGTCTACATCTCTCATTGCACATTTGGAAAAACTGTTCATGGAAGCTTGGTTCTTCTCACTGACACAGTAAAGAGTTACAGATCAGTGAGACAAATGTGGATGAGTAAGAGCTTTATTAGTACTTCCTCAAGGGAGAGGACGGCCTGCCAAGAGCAGTGAGAAAGGGTTTCGCATAGAAGCAGCAACAGAAAAGCAAACTGCTTTTCTGGGCCTGGAGCTGAAACACGACAGAGGTCTAGATACAACCTCTAGGGAGGCAAGGCCAGGGGAGGAAAGGTTCCCCTGGGGCTGAGGTCCTTGTCTTCCCAGTTCTGCTCCCTGCCTGGTACCGGGGGCCTTCTGCCCTGGTGACCATCTGCACTTGGCTATAAGTTGCTTGGCCCTTGTGCTAAGCTTCTGTCTCAGTTTCCCTGTTCCATTGACCAAGGAATGTTCCTAGCTTCTTACTATCATGTCTCAAAACTGAGATCCAAAGAAGGGCTACTTAACCAGGGTTACCCAATTAGCCAAGAACACAACTGGCACCAGAAACAACACTCTTGATATTCACTATTAAGTAATATTTTTATTTTAAGAAACTTGCAAGTGAAATAATAAGAGAAACATTTGAAGGAAACTTTTTTCCAGTTTCTCTGGAGGCACAGAAGGGGGCTCGAGATGGAAAAACCTTTGTGTCTTCAGTTAAGTCTTCGACCCCATGGCATATACTTTTGTGCCCATGTGTAGCTTCCCATTAAAGATGTTATTTTTATGTATGCTACATTAGATTTAAAGGACAGTTTCTTTTGAGGAAACTTTTATCTTCTGTTCCAAGACTGAGTGAGTCATTATGGCATCCAACACTAGAGGGCGCACCGTAAAAAGATGGCTACACAGACTCCCAGGAAACGGAAGACAAGAAAGGAAATAAGCAGTAAATAGCAAGAGTAATTGTCATGGGGCCATCACACATCACAAGTCACACAACAGGTTATGAAAAGGTGGTGGTAGTGGTGGTGGTTTTCATTATTGTCTCTGGTTTTAATATAGGGTTGGACCAGAATAGCTTGCTTTTTCATGTGTATAGCTTTCAAACCTCACAACCGGGAAAGGTGTGTTTCTCTGAGACAGCCATGCCTTTCTGCCCAGGGTCCGCGTGGCCTTTCCTCTGGGCCTTAGACCACTCTCTGCTCCGGGCGGTAGGGGCTTGCTGAACCATAGGAGGTGCTCAGTAAACACTGGTTCACGGCGGTGCTCAAACCTTACTAGGCATCGGAATCACCGGGGGGGGGGGGGGGGGGGCTGCTGAACTTGCTGACTCCTGGCCCCTGCCTTCAGACCTTGTGATTCCCGACATTACTTGCGGTAATGTCCCTGCATATTTAACAAGCATCCCAGGGACTGATGTAGGTAGTCTGTGAACCTGTTCGGCAAAATTCCTCTTGCTGAGTTCTTCTGAATGTGTTCACACTCCTATATCACATCATCTGATAAAGTCTGTCATTTGTTGCTTACTTAAGACATTTTCTTAAGTTGCCTCATTTCTATACATTTCATTTCTCCAAAGCGGGAGTTATCTCCCTTCCACACCTATTAATTCCTATTGGGTTGGTGGTTTCCCATACCCCTCTGTGCCTAAGACATAACTTGCTCTCTGTATCCTAACCTGTGTAGCTGCCGCTCTTCACGACTCAATTTATGTTGCTCCGAGCGAGCTTACTGCCTGAGTCTGTGTGAGGCGCTCCTGCTGCCCGTCTCTCTGGCACCCCATGCTTCTCCCACCAGAGCAGGACACATGGTGATCCGTCTGATGCATGCAGACACCATTCTGTGTTTCCTTAGTGACTGTATTCCAACCTGACCTCCTGGGTTCCCTTTGTGGGAGCAGGAACTTTGGTTTTGTTTTCATTGCTGCATCTCAGGGTCAGATGGGGCACCCAGGGGATGGCTGAGGTGAACGGTAAAGCCCAAGTTATGTCGCCAGCTTCATTTTTCCTGAAGATTGGGTCAGTTCAACCCAAAACATATGTACTGGGCACCTTCCAGGTGATGGGCATTCTGCTAGACCCGGGGAAGCAAAAAATGAGTAGGACACAGCCCCTGAGCTTGAGGGGGTGATATTTAAAGTGAAACCATTCTGTGATCTATATGCCAGTGGGTTTAACTATTAATAGGAAAGCAGAGATGGCACTCTTTCACTCTCAGGAGAGTTCAAACGACTCCGAGTCTTATTATCACCACATGATGTAAGGGAAGTCTTAAAAAGCAATGAAGCGTAACGGGGAAAAGCCAGGCTTTAAAGTCCAATGAAGCCATGAACACCAGAGTCGCTACAAGTCTTGGCTACATATGTGTAATAGGCCTAATAATAACAAAAACAACCACGCTGGCATATAAGACCAGTGGTTAACATTACTGAGCACCACTAAGCACGTTCTATGCATTAACTTATTTAACCCTTTCAGCTATCCAATAAAATTCACACTTTACTATTTGAGGAACCTGGCTCTGAGAGACTAAGTCATCTGCCTATAGTGAGCCTCAATAACAAACGGTGTGGCCAGAATTTGAACCTGGGACTGACCAATGAATACATGAGATAATGTAAAGACAAGCCTAGCATGGTGCCGGCAGATAATAAGCCTTTGGAAATGGTTTCTAATATTCTTATTGTCCTCAAGAGGTCAGGCCCACAGAATTATTGCTCTTGGGGTGAGCTACTGTGAGGATGGTTGAGCAGATAAGTGAGGAAGGCTGGGTCCCTGAGCCCCCAGCACAAGCCAGAGGCAGGAAAGGAGCCCCCTCTGTCACCACTGCTGCTGTAACTTGCACTCCACTTCCCAGACTCAGCCGCCACCACCCTCAGACCCACGTCCCTGGGGAGACATGGCATCTGACGGTTAGAAAGGCCTCGCTGGTCGCCCAGCCAGGGTGCCAACTGGGGCGTGCATCCTCCTGCCACACCCGCCTCTGCTTGCATCTCTGCCTCCACCTTACGCACCATCTGCACACTAGCTCCTCACTGCTCCGGAGCAGGGAGGGCGGGGGGGAGCCCAGGCCCCAGGAGTCATTGCTGGACAACACTTTCAAGATCTTCTAAGTTGCCCCCATATGTTCTGCCTGTGGCCTGCCTGGAGAGGGGATTAGCAGGGACACGACCTTGGGAGAGGCTGGAGCTCCTCCTTAACTCCTGCAGAATGAGTCACTTGTTCCCACTTCACTCCTTGTTCCTCCAGGAGGCAGGGAGAGGCAGGAAAATTTCACATGTTTATGAATCCAAATTAACACCAAGTCCAGGCAGGAGAGGCCCTACGTCGTGGGGAACTGGTGTGGTCGGCAGCAGCAGGGAGAGCTGGAGGTGGTTGTCAGGAGAGCCAGCCGGCGCTCCGGCACTCCAATGGGCAGGGCACACAAGCCAGTGCACGCTGGGTCCAGAAGCAACACTTCCCGCTGGCACAGACCCTCGTGAAAGCTCTCCGCTCTCCACCAACAGAGTGCTCACCAATGACTAATTTTCATCTCCAAGGCTCTTCTCGCCTTTCCTTTCACAAACATGAAACCTGGGGACTGAGGCGTCAGCATGTCATTTCCTGCTGCCTGAGCTCGAGTGTTTGTACAGAGCATAAGATACTATAGTGATAAACGTCTCAGCCATGCATCCACCCAAACCCAAGCGTTTGGCCCTCAGCACAGGGTGTCACCAGTGAGGGCCAAGTGAATAAAATCCCACTTCCTGCTGTATTCATACGATGGCACTACTACCTGTCTGTCTTGTTCTCTGTTTCCTCTCAGCAAACAGCAGTCGAGGCCTCTCAGCTCTGGATGAGCCAAGCCATCTGTCCTCTAAGAGCTGCTGCCTCAGACTGGGGCAGTCCCTCAGATTCTCCGGTCCCGACTCTGTCATCCTAAGCATACGTACTCATGGAACTTACTACCATTTGGTAGCTTATAGCTTAAAAGGGCTTGATAAAAGGAAACCTGCTCGGAATCTCAGTGTGAGTCCATTCTTGGAACCCCTGCTCTGTCCCCCAAGGCCCGACCCCTGCCTTCCCCTTCTGTTGGGGTCCAGCGGTTCCAGGAGGGCTTTGAATTCAGTTGTGAGGACTCTCCCCATCTCGGCACCCATTCTTCCTGACAACCACTGCTTTCACTGCCTCTAAGACTTGTGCTTAGGCTATTTTTAACTTGTCCTTTATTGTTTAAAAAAAATTACACCAGAGGAGTTTAATGAGTCCTATTTAGCATTTTCGAGAAAAAGAAAATTTGCAACCAAGAAGTGCTGCTACAGAACGCCAAGGCTGGCTGGCACACCTCTTAAAACCAGCTTTCCCCTCCTCTGTACAATAGTTTATTTTTGGACAGCAGCCTCTGCACAAACATCACAAACAAGGCACACCAGGGTTTATCGTTAACTTAAAAGAAGGGGGAGAGGTTTGGAAAAAGAACACAGGGTTTAGAGGGCAGGGTGGGGGGAGGAGACAAAAGTCACCCATGGGATGGGAAATCCCGGCTGCCAAAAGCTGCCCTCCGCACCTTTCACGCACAGGATCCTTTGCTTCTAGCCAGTCAGCGGTGTGAATGATAGGAGCAAGTGGGAGGAAGAGGTGAGATTTCGGATTTTTGTTCGTTTGGTATAGAACTCTCTCCCTCTCTCTCACAAACAACAACCACCACCACAAAAAGCCTACCTAAACTAGCTGAAGTGTTTCTGTGGAACATAAAATATGATGGTGATAAATATCTGCCACCCATCTGCCCAAGGCCAAGAGCTCCCCTGGGTCAAAGTCGATTCCAGGCAAAGGTTCTCCGCTGTGCTGCATGGTGAGAACTCCAGCTCACAGACCGCAGCACTGGCCCCAGCAGGGTCAAAGCAGTCAGCGCCTGGCCACTTGCTGTCTGGACTTTGAATCAGAAGCATCATGGCAGCCTTTTCAGGCATGAAAGCACAGCCCTGGCCTCCTGATGCGCACACCCAGCCACGTGAGGGTTGCCAGGTCTGCTGCTCAGCTGCCCGATCACTGCTCTTGCACTCTTAATTGGGGGTTGGCCATGGCTGTACCTAGTGCACTCAAAACAAATGCTCTCTGGCTCGAAGTTTCTGCACGCAGTGAGAAGCACACACATGCAGTCTGTAACTGCTACGGGTGTATCAGAGGACGGAGGACAGGAGAAAGAGAGACTTCAACTTCAGCAGAGGAAAAGCTTCCTCCCTGGAAAAGGAGCCCACTCTCTCTGAAGTGAGTTAGTGTTATAATGTACTATTCCTTAGAATCCATGCGATTTTCAGCATTCCATGATATCTCAGAAGATAAAAGTGCTCGCGCAGAGCTGGATAAAATGCTGTGGAACCATCTTGGCTAAATGAAAAAAATTTTAGGATGCTGAGAATTAAAGGGCAAAATTGCAAATAATTACTTTTAAATTTATTGTTGTAAAAAATGTTTTGTAGTCAGAATGAATGTGAAGTATTTATGATGTACAGAACTTTAATTAATTCATCAAAAGCAGACAAGATAAGAAGAGTAGTTTTGAGCTGCCACTCAAGTCTAGTGATTAGAATGAAAAAGAATAAGAATTCTGTGTTTAGACTCTTGATGAAAAATTAAAAAGTCAACAGCCCATCACAAAGCAATTGGCTGAGGTCTTTACTTCCGTGCTTGCTGGTGAGACAAAAGAATAAAGGCAAGGCTCTCCCTTTCTACAGAGAATAAACAGAAACTGTATATCTGTCCTTATTCAAAGGCGCATTGAACTGAGGTACAGAAGTGGCCTTGTCCCTCGTCCCACAGCTGCCGGGAGTCATGGAGACGCAGACTCCAGCTCTGTGCTTGTGCTCGCACCAGTCCCTCTGCCTGCAGGGTGTCTGCTGCCCTCTCCACCAGGTAAACTGTTCAGCCTTTGGGGCCCAGCAAAAATATTTCTTCTGCCCTGGCTGGTGTGGCTCAGTGGATTGAGAGCCGGCTTGTGAACTACAGGGTCGCCGGTTCAATTCCTGGTCAGGGCACATGCCTGGGTTGCAGGCCGGGTCCCCAGTATGGGCACGCAAGAGGCAACCACACATTGATGTTTCTCTCCCTCTCTTTCTCCTTTTCTTCCCATCTCTGTAAAAATAAATAAATAAAATCTTAATATATATATATATATATATATATATATATATATATATATTTCTTCCATGAAGCCTCCCTTGATACACCAGGTGGTGGATCATTTCTTCCATGAAGCCGCCCTTGATACACCAGGTCTGTGTTTGCATTTCTGTCTCTCCCCACGGGACTGTGAGCTTGCCAAGGACTGGGAGTGTGGTTTATTGATAAGTGTTTTCAGTAACCAGCACAATGCTGGACTCTCAGTTACTACATACTCAACAAATGTTATTATTTATAATGTACAAAAATGAATTCTCCTTGAATGCACACGTCTGGAAACAGCAAGGAGAACAAATAACGGAGGGATGGATGATGGCAGGCATCGATGCATCAGTTCATAACCACCGGTTCGTCAAGGCGCAAGGCAACGGAAAAGAACGAAGAAAATTGGGACACGGTCTACGCCCCGGCTAGGAGAGTCCAAAGAAGCACAGACAAAAGAGGAGGGGAGGCACGAACAATATCTGCCACATCTTACAGTTAATGCCCTTGAGAGAGGGCAGATCCAGACGGAGAGAGGGTTTGGCCCAGAGGCCTGGTGTTCACCCTTCCGCTGCCACTAGAGGGCTTCCGGGGAGGAGTAAGTAGTCATGAAAGACCCTAGGGGGGGCTGCCACACCTCTGGGCTCCGCAAGAAGGACTGATCTGCTCCATTCCCAGCGTGTGCAGACCTGGTGTCTCAACTGCACACCTCACCCATTTCACACCGGCTCTCGCCAGTTTTTCATCCTTTGCTTCAATGACTCGGCCTCTTCTCTACAGCTTCACGCCACTGTTGCCTTCCTGAGGCCCAGTTCCATCTCCCCTGGCTTCTGATCCTGATCTGCCTCTGGAAACTTCTCGGTGCCCGCTTGCCTCCTTGGTGCACCTAGCCCTAGAGCACTCATGAGACAGGTACCTTAGGGGTTAGCCGGGCCTCTGGCACAGAAATGCTAAATTCTATCACTCCAGCACTTAGCGCTATCTATACAGTTGTCCTGACAAGGGGTAGAGGCAAGTCTTAAAGACCGGGTCAGATTCAGAAGGGTGAACAGGACAGGTTGGCAGGCAGCGAGAAAACAAAAGCTGGGCATAAAGAAAACAGTTCCTTCATGAGACGGGGACCTCTGGGTGAGCCTCCTGGGGGTTTCTTCCTGGAGCCAGATGGTATTTCAGTGCAGCCACCGCCAATGCTGCTCCGCAAATCAAGGACACCGCAGTACTCAAATGGCCACCAAGTCAGCAGCTAGACTTCAAGAAGTTATAGGAATCGCGTTTTGAGCAAATCACTGCTCGCTTTACTTATACATGTTTAAGAAAGCAGTCGTGGACCCCGAAGCTTGCACCCCGTATGTAATCTTGGAAAGCTAGCCACGTATGGGCCCGCCATGTCTGAGCAGTGCACCAACTACTTGTTATTAAGGGTCGGGTGGTATGATCATTCTATTGTGTGTACTAGCAGAAAACCTACAAGGTTGGAGATTTCCTGTTGCCCTACCCTGAAGAACTTGGGGAGAGCCAGCCACCTCTACCTTGAGCTCATCTTTTGGGACTGAGTGGATACCAAACAAAATGATAGGTCCAAGTTAAGTGGCTCTAATTCAGGGAGAACAGCTGTGGGCAGCATATACCCCAGGACGGAGCTCTGAGAAAGGAACACAGACTGCCAATGGAGGCTGGACCGGGCAGGTTTCTCAGTGGGTTACCCTGTGATGCCAACATTTTCGAACTTAACAGAAGAGGTCGATTTCTTGCTCATGGCATATGTCATCTCAGAAGAACAGGAGGTGCACGTCTCCTCTGTAAGTTCCCACGCCCTAGGATCACCTACCTGCCCTGCGGGTTGAAACCCTGCTCCACGTTTTTGTCATTCCAAGATCCAGACTGAAAGAGCAGCTCTAACCGGCACGTTACCATTTTCCAGGAAGAGAGAAAGGACAGAAGATGAGAACCCACAATGGCTCTTAAGGCTCATCCTTAGAAGTGGCACATGTCAGTTATGTTTCACTGGTCTAAGCCAGTCATACAGACAAGCCTGTGGTCCCTGGTTGGAAACGTGTAATTCTCACACAGAGGTCAGCAGATATTGGGAACAATATCAGATCCACTATAAGGACAGGATTTTTTTTTTTTTTTAAGAAAACCCTCTGCAGTTAAAGCCCATGTAGGTTTTGGGTCTACAGATTGTTGCCCAGGGATCAGACACCAAAAAAGGGAGAAGAACATAGTTAGCTCACGAAACTCTTACTCTCCACTAGCGAGAGAGAAAGGAGTGGAGATTTTAGGAGATGAGACGAACATTCACGAGGAAGGTGGCAAGAGGAACTGTCTATCAATATGTCGGAGATAAACTTGCAGGGGGTACCGCAGAATCTCAGGAAGGAAAGATACCTGGTCACCTGGTCTCATGTATTCAGATTTAGATTTAAACTCAGACTCACGGCCTTGGCTCTCCTTTGGTTCAGGGTCTCTGCCTGGGCTGGCAAGGGCACCGACTTCCAGGACGACTGGGAACAGGAGGCGGCTGCCTCCTCCTATACGTCTGCCTTGTCCAAGGAGCAGCTCACACTGAGACCATGTTGCCGCGCAGCCCCCATGGTTACTATCTCCCGGTCTAAACTTCTTTTCAATTCATCCCCGGGACACACTGTTTGGAAAAGCTGTCAGAAGTTGCAGACAGCACTCAGACACAGTCATCTTTCAAACCCGGAATGCCAGAATGTCACCCCCGAGCAAGAAGCCCCCGAAGGCTGGCCCCTCTCCTCCGGTCCTTCGTGTCCTCTCTGCAGCCCAGCCTCGTCTTGACGGTGCAGGTTCCTTCCCGGCTGTGCTCATCTCCTCTTGCCACAGACCAGGCCTCTGAGGGGACACCCGGGTGAACTCCTTCGGACATCTAAATGTTCAACTGGCCATTCGGAAAGGGCAATTCCTCTTCCTTCCTCTTCTCAAATAAATGGCCATGCAAATCAGTTTGCTTTGGGGACTGGCTTTGTTTGGTGTTGTTTTAGCGCATCGCCTAATTCCCTTTGTGGTGCTTTTTCTCAGGATTTTTGTGTCGCTCCAACTTTACACTTGTAAAACTGTAATTAAAGTTCCCACTTGCTATTTTATGCCACAGCTAAGGGTTTTCATTTCACTTAAGCCTTTTCTTTGAGACAGATTAGAATACATCGTAATTTTACTATATAATGACAGTTTTAAAGTAATATGTTATGAGGAAGTGAATGTTTAATCTGCTCTAACTTATTCTTTTCATCATTGTGTTAACTTTGCTTAAATATTTTCCTTATTAAGAATAAGATTTAGGACTTTGGAATTATTTTGCAATTTTGTTTGTTAACTCATATTACTTTCCTTTTCTTGTTTGCTAGCAGACTAGCAAAAAAAGTAGTACTTTCCCCTGAGTTTCTTAGCTTGCCACATAAACCACTAGGTGTTGTTTCAGTAAAAGATGGATTTAGAGGCTCTGAATATGAATGTCTTTTCTCAATTAACAAGTACTTAGAGAACATAATGACATCAAAAAAAATCTCTTTCAGGGAAATATTTTCCTGAATTTATAGTGATTAGGTATCTGTAATAGACTCATTCATGGATCAAAACATAATTATTGAGTACCTACTGTGTACCAGACACTATTCTATAAACATGGGATATATCAGTGAGCAAGCTAGGTAAAATTGTGTCTGTAAAGGGCTTCTATTCTAGAAGAGAGAGAGAGAGAAATGCCAGACAAACACTATATCAAATAAGTAAAAGATGAGTGCTCAGAGAAAAACAATGAAGCCAGGCCAGAACAGGAGTGGGAGGGGTATTCGGTTTTCGTTGTGGCTTTCAGGGGACGCTTCCCAAGTGAGCAGCAGCGGTGGGTGGAGGATGCAAATCACCCAGCAACCTTGCAAACTGCTTCATTCTGAGTAAAATGGGGAGCCATGTCAGGGTTTGGGGAAAGGAATGAGCTGAAAGATTTCCATGTTTGAAGAATCACTTTGGCTGCACTGAGAATACACTGTGGGGACGGACGGAACCGGAGTGGAAGCACCCAGACTAGTTAAGCGGTTAATGAATTAACCCAGGAGACAGACACTGGTGGATGGAACCAAGGTGTAGCAATGGAGGTGGATATTCAGAAGGTAGAGCCAACAGGATTTCCTGACAGTTTCAGTGCAGGTTGTGAAAGAGAAGAGTCAAGGCTTTTAGCCCAAGCCATTGAAAGGATGGGGTTCCATTTACTGAGAAGGGGATAGCTTTGTGGGTTGCACAGGTTTGGGGGGAAACAGGAGTTTGGTTTGGGACTCAAGTTTGAGGTATCTACTAGATGTCTAAGTAGGAAAAGCAAGCAAGCTGTCGGAAACATAAACCGGAGCTCAGGAGACAGAACCGTGCTGGCGGCATCGACGTGGGATTGTTGGTGCAGAGGCAAATCGAAGCTGTGCGGCCACATGAGCGCCTTGAAGGCCCTGAGGGAGGTGTCTTAGAAAACAAGAGAAGGCATTTACTTACCAAAGAGGAGGGAGTGGTCAACAGTGTCCAGTGCTGCTGCGAGGTCATTTAAGAACCAGGAATTGGTCACTGTATTCAGCGAAGGGGAAGCTGCCAGTTCTCTCAGCTGAGGCTCAATGTTGCAGTGGGAGTAAAAAACCCTCGTTAGAATGAGCTGGAGAAAAACATGGTGGAAAAGGAACCGCAGGCAGTGAGTATAAACAATTCCTCTGAGATGTTTAGACGCAGAGGGGAGTAGAGAAGTGGAGTTGAGGAAAAAGGTCAAGAGACACTTTGTTCCTTAAGATGGGAGAAACAACGTTTTTTAAGAATAGTGAGGGCACTCATCCAGTAGAGTCGAAAATCAATGATATAAGAGACGGGAGACAATTGCTGGAGTTACCATTTGAAACTGGATGAGATCAGTGCAAACGTGAAAAGACTGGCTTTCCACAGAAGCCCAGGCAGTGCACCCCTAGCAGTAGCGGGAAGGCAGAGGGTATGGGCACAGATCCTCCAGTGGTTAAATGTACTTTCTTTATGCTTCCATTTTTTTCTTTTATTCGAGAGAGACGGGAAGGGAGAGGGAAAAGAGGGAGAAAAAGAGGGAGAAAAGGATCAATGTGAGAGAGAAACATCGACAGGTTGCCTCTGCACATGTCTGGACTGAGGACTGACTCCACAACCCAGGCATGTACCCTGACCAGGAACCAAACCCATGACCTTTTGGTTTGCAGGATGATGCCTAAGCAACTGAGACACACTAGCCAGGGCTCTTTATGCTTTTAAAAATAAATTTCCCAAGTAAAGGAAACACCGAGTTCCAGGCTATCAATTAAGAGGCACCGGCTGGCCCGGCTGGTGTGGCCCAGCGGGCTGAGCATCATCCTGCAAACTGAAAGGTCGCCGGTTCAATTCCAAGTCAGGGCATGTGCCTGGGTTGTGAGCCAGTTCCCTGGATGGAGGTGTGCAAGCGGCAACCGATGGATGTTTCTCTTGCATGTTGATGTTTCTTCCCCTCTTTCTCCCTTCCTTTCACTCTCTCTATAAACAAGTAAAATCTTTTTTTATTTTTTATTTTAAAAGAAGCACTGGCTTACTTGGAAAGGCAACCCTTATTTTTTCACTTTATGAATTCATTTTAGAAGGGTTTGGTCCACTTCTGTCTTCCCAATGTGGTTGATTAAAACATGTGCTCTTAGTTTTTCTGGTTTCAATTTCATCATATTACTTCTAACTATAGCAGTCTGGCAATTTCCCTTCCTCTTTGGACACTGTTACCTCAGTACTCGTGGAGAGTTACCCACACACTTCACCCAGTTTCATTTCCTCCACACTGTTCTCCTCCCTCCACCTGCTCATTTCTAATCTAGTCACCACCATCTCAATCTCCTGAGCTATGAAGAAGGTGCAGAATTTGCTTCCGACTTCCAAGGCTGAGAGTCTAAGTCCAGGAACTCCAATGGATTTAACCCATCTAAAGAAACAGAGAAGAGGAAAGTGGGAGGTAGTACAACAGAAGAATTCAGGAGTTTGTTTTTGAACTTGTTGAGACATATACTAGATGGCTAAGTGGGGAAACCAAGTAAGCAGTTAGAAATGAAAATTGGAGCTCAGGACAGAGAACCATGCTGGAGATACAAATGTAGAGTTTTTGGCTTAAAGAGAGAATTCAAAGCTCCATGACTGGATACTCTGCTTGAAGGGAGTGTGAGTGTCCTGTCCTGGAAGGGAAGAGAAGGCAGAAAACTACTTTCACCATTTGCTTAGGCTGAGCCTCTACTAGATGATTTCAAAGGATGTTATGTATATGAGCACCCAGCTGTTGTAAATTATGTTAGCTGCAGAATTTATAGTTATTCTACATTAAGAAATCAGGTCACACAACATATGGACACACTTTTAACAGGTAACATTTACTGACAAGACTTATGTTCTAGGCACTTAGTTAAGCCACTTCCATGTCATTTAATCCTTGGCCTCACAATAACTGGAGATATATCTTAGTATCCCCATTTATGAAACTAACAGAGGTGACAGAGAGAGGCTCAAATAATTTGAAATCCTGCATCTCTTGAGCATTATTGCCACTTTCCATGCAAATAATATTCTACATTTATTTCTGTATAATTGGTTACGCAGGTGTGTCCAAACTTAGCCCCTCTCCCTCCGGGGCTCTTCTTCACAAGACATTCATCATATTATTCATAAGCTATGCCAGGGCACTTGGGGTCAGTTTATAAAGTCTGATTTCTTTACAATTTTTAATATGTTGTACTGAAATTCAATTGCTTACCACATGTTGGACACGCTACTAGGTGATGAAAAAAGGAATGCAAAGTCATTCCTCCAGGGGGCTCAGGTTCTTCTCTAACAGAGAAGTCATTCATTCATTCGTATGTATTATTGAGAGCCTTAGGGCATGCCGCATGCTATGGTTCAGACACACACAAATCAACTTAGAATTCTTGGTAAGAAAGAGAGAGAGAGAGATGCCCATATAATGACCTTTTTATCTGACATGGTCCTTTTACACAGAATAAGCGCTTGGATCTCTAGAGCCAGGCTGCCAGACTTAGCAGCCGAGGTGTGCCACTTGAAGGCTGGGTGATCTTGAGCTACTTATATGACCTTCCCAAGCCCTTGTGTTCCATCTAAAGAAATGAGGATAGTGATAGTGACCATCCCATAGGGCTGTTACGAGGACTAAACATGAATATATGTAAAGTATTTAGAGAAGTGCCTGGCCTGTCATAGCGTGGCAGCTATCTCACTGTTAGTGTGGGACAGATCTACCATGTGCTGGAACAGTTACCATGAACACAGCCCTCAGCAAAGGGCAGGGAGTGCTTTGTGAGGTTCTGCTGAATAGAACTTCCCTGACACCTCATTGTGTTTCTGCTGCCTCGTTTCTGTAGAAGTGTCCAGTGTGGTCTCAAAATCTTTTTCTATCATATTTCTTAACTTTGAATCCAATGCCAAATCAGTAATTGTCCTTTGCTGCCTCCTTCCCATTTGTTTTCCCTGGAGAACAGGGGAAGCGGACAGCTTTTTATGTCCTAGACCATCTGAGTGATCTTACATTACTTGTCCTCGGTAGAGCTCTGACCAATTTTATCTTTAAAAATCTTAAAAATTATTTTCCCTACTATCAAAGTAATATGTGTTCAACATAATAACACTTCAGGCATACAAAATTTTTCAACAGAAAGTAAACAGCCAAGATGTGGTAACCCCACATCCAGACATAACCACAGTTAACTGCTTGTTGTGTATGCTTCCAGATTTCTTCTAAGGATACATTTTATAACAAGTATATAAAGACAAATACAAATAAAGATGGAACCATACTATTCATATTGTTCTGTGATTTACTTTTTTCCACTTATAGATTTTAGGCATTCTTCCATGTTAGTACAAACAGATCTATCCTGTTTTTATTAATAGTTTAATGTTTTCTTCTACAGATCCAGCATAATTTGCTTAACTAGTTTCCCAACTGGGATGTTATTTGGCTTTTACATGGTTATATGTTTTAACTGTTATGAACAATACTACAATCAACATATCTAGACATATATTCTTGTACATAGCTGTATTACTAAAATACATATATTTGGCAAAAATATGTCCAAAGTATAAATTCTTAGATGTAGAACTACCTGGTCAAAGAGCACACATATATATTTTATCAAAAATTGCCAAAGTGTCCTCCAAAAGAATTTATCCAATTTATACTCAACACTCATAGTGTATGAGAATGGCTGTTTCTCCACATTTGACTGTTTCCCAAGTATTACTTTTTCTTTTCTCGATTTATAACCATCTTGGAAACACATTTCTCTCAAATCCGGAACCACAGTTCAAAACCTAGTGAAGATCAAAATATGGAAGTGTTTTTATAGACAGCAACCATTCCAAACTAATTATAATAGTAAGATGTTTTTAATCAAAACATCACACCACTGGATGATAGTTTTAAAACAGCTCTAACCTCACAGTTCGGCAAATGTGGTGCTGTGATTAGCTCACTTGACATGCAGCTCCTGCCCACACACCTCCTTCTTGGCTGAGTGTCTGGAATAGGAGAGTATGCTGGCATGACAGTCAAGGAAAAGTGAGAAAGCTAGAGGTCAGGAGGGCTCACAACCTAATGTTGTCCTGTAACTAGTCTAGGACAGTCCCTGTGGTCCACTCTGCTCGTCCTCCTCCCGGTCAGGACTGCTCTACTTTACTTCTAGCTCCTGAGGAACCAGTGCTCCCCATCCAAGGGTCAGTTCTAGCACCCCTTCTCTCCAAAGCCTTTCCTGACACCCTAGAACACCACTCTTTGGGATGCCTCACTATATCTGAACCCACACCTTCCTGAGGACGTGTTAACATTTTGTGCAGCATGCTTATGAAGATTTTAGGTGATGAGGTGATTGAACACTCGCCGAGATGGAGAGAGTTTGGTAGGCGAGGTGGGACTTCCCATTGTTCACAGAAATGGGGAGATTCGGGTAAAAGGAGATATCGAAGTATTGGGCTGGAACCATTTGTCTTGTTAAAGCCCAACAATTCAAAACATCCCTCTTGACTTTATTTCTTGACTCTTGCTCCTCCCCAACCACTTAAAAGACTTCAAATATGCGTACTTTGATCTTACAACAAAAACAAGAAGGAAAACTATCAGGCTGGAAAACAACTCTTAGCAGAGGTCACCCTCTTCATTTGCCTTCTTCAGACGCAGGACATTTCTGGCAAAAAGGAATGAGGAAAAAAAGAGTAGACTCGGATTACAAGAACTGACCCTCCAATACGTCTTTAATAGCAGAGACAGAGCAAACGAGGCTGGGAAGCTATTTGTGCCAAGATAAAGCTGTGTGCGCCCCAAATCCTAGGTAAGTACTTTCTCCTTAGTGTTGGAAGCCGCTTACATGACTTTACTGAAATTTCCCCTTTTCATTGCATTCCTCCCCAAGTCTTAATATTGGAGTTTTAGTCAGTCAACAGATAAACCTATGAAAGGCAAATGTTCCTGACCTTTTCTCACTCTCCCCTGACGACAGGGACTGTCTGGCACCACGTCCTGCCCAGGCAGGAGTTGGACAGTATTTCGGGGACGAAGATCGAGGCTGCCGCTCTTCCCCGCCCCAGGCACCTGCCCGGTGTGGAGCAGCCTCCGGCCTCCCGTCGCCGACCTCGGGCACCCAGACCCGCCCCACACCCAGGTCTGGTCAGCCCGCCCGCTGGGCTGCGGAAGCGCCCCGACCCTCGGCGAGCGCGGCGGCGCGACCGGAGGAAAGCGCTCGCAATCACATGGAGGCCCCGGCCCGCCCCATTGGCTGCGGCCGAACCAGTCGCGGAGCTCGCCGGCTGCGGTTGGTCCTGGAGCAGCAGCGCCTGCACGGACCCGGAGTCCATGTTACGCTTTGTCTAATTCCCCCTGTTACAGAGTCATGTGCTGCTGCTCCGGTCGCCGCCGCTGCCGCCGCCCGTGGTGCCCGGGCTCCTCCGCCGCGCTTCGAGGTGGCCGCCGCGGGCGGGGCCGCGGGAGCAGGGTCCAGGGCGCCGCGCGCCTCCGCCGCCCCGCTGCGTCCGGGTGCAGCCGCCGCCCGCCGCAGGTGATGCCGCCACCTCCCGCCTCAGCATAAGCCGTGGCTCGGCGGCCGAGCTGCCTGGGCTGCCCCCCAAGGTGGGTGCGCACCTCCGCAGGGCAGGGGCCGGCGCTGCGCAGGTGGGAGCCGCGTCCGAGCCGGAGCGCGCCGGCGCCACGCAGGCGTCCTTCTCGGGGAAGCCGCGGCCCGAGCGGAGGCTGCGGCCGCGAACTCGCAGCGAAGGGGCGGAAAGGGGCGTAGCGGATGGCGAGCCGGGCTGAGCAGTGCTCCGGCTAATGACCCCTGGGGCCCGGAAGGTTGTTCTGCTTTGGGCCATTTGAGCGGCAGACGCCTGGGCCGCAGGCGGTGGGCCCTGCGGGAGGAGAGGCCGTGCCGCCCCCTCCGGCTCCCCCTCGCGCGCGCGCTCCCTTCCCTCGCCTCCCTCCTCCCTGTCGGAAGGGCGGGGAGACCTGGGTGCGGCTCCGCCGGTTCCTCCTAGAGGTGGGTGTTTGGTGTCTGGCCTTGCTGGCCGGGTGCCCAGAAGGTGAGCCCTTAACTTCTCCAGAAACAGTTCCCCGTGGTCTCCTTCGCGCGCTGGGGGAGCCGAACGGGAATGTGGGGCCGTGCCCCGCCCCCGGCGCCGGGAGGAGGGAACCGGGGGCGTGCAGGTGCACCCAACCCGCCGCGGGCCATCTCCGGGTTGGGTACCGGTATAATCCGCTTCTAGCTTGTTTGGAAGCGTGGGCACTTGGGAGCGGGACTTGTGCTCGAATCTTGTTAAGGGGCTTGGAAAGGAGTAGGACTGGGTATGGTCGCCCAGTGAACTGTCACCTTCGCTTACTCGAGGGTTGATAGAGGCTTTCCTCTTTCAGGGGTCCTTTATTTGGGGTATCTCTTACGGATGAAGAAATAAGGTTCTGGTTTCTTTAAAAAAAAAAAAAAACCTGCCACAGTGAAGAAAAGCTGCTACAGGTCGTGGGGAGGAGAGAGAGGTAGGTCCCTGTTGGAGAGAGGGTGTGGGATGTGGGGTCCCACCTGGTACACAGTTGGGGCGTGTGGGCGAAGGTGGGAAGATAGGGTTTTCAGAAAGAAAAAGCACAAAGGGGAGAGAGGGCTATCACTCAGAGGGTAAGCGGAGAGCTGGGGAATAGGTGTTGGGGAGTCCTAGCCGTCAGTGGGCCCCCCTTGAATCACTTGGGTTCATACATAGCTCCTTCAGCTTTGCAGATTTTTTTCCTTTCCTCCTTGACTTTGAAAAAATATTTCTTGTTCGGGGGGAAAACCCCTGTTAGGACGTGTTTTGAAAGAGATGTAGTAGTAAAGAGATACCTAATCTCTGGAAATGGCCCTTAGCCCCTTCAATAATAACATTCCATTCAGGCAGTGTTTACTGACCACCTATTATGTGTTCAGTGCTTGGTATTGGAAGAGTCTGGGACCGGTTGGGAATTCCTGTGCGCAGTAATGGTGAGCGCTGTTTACCTTGTAAACGACCAAAGGGCATTTCCAAGTGCCAAGAATGACAGTGATTCAGACCTTCCCCAGTAAAGCTGCTGGGGCCTCGGCTTCTTACAGACCTGTGGGAAGAATTCTGGACCATAACCAGTTAGTGGGGTCTTCATAAAGCATTTGTTTATGGTTTATAAATCCTGACTGAACATCTACCCATTAGCTACGACAGGATTAGAGTTGTTGCCCCTCCTGTTCTCAACGTTAAAAATTCAAGAGCAATGTAAGAAAGATCCTGAGATGAAAATTAGGTGGTTAAAATACAAATTTGGCAAAGTTGATTTGGAGTGTTTGGTTTCTCTACATTATTTAGGAGCCTCCCATAAAATGATTAGGTAACTCATGAAGCTAGGGGGGAAAATTCAAAGTCTTGACTTGGCATGATTTATTTATATCTTTGACTGTGTTATCTTAGATTTGTTGCCTTTGTATTGAAGTGTATGTGTGTGTACTTGGCTGATTAAAACTTAACACCTTAGGAGGTTGGAGAGGAAACTGTCCTTGGGTGACCCTGTCCCCCACTGTGCCCCATGGCAATGTCAAGTAGTGCATGATGAAACATTAAAAGTATTGAGCCATATTTCTATCTTTTTCTCCCTGCCAAGGTTTAAAAAAATAAACATGCCTTGGTTAAAACGTGGCCTTTTTTTCTTAAATTTGGTATTGTGCAGTGCTTTCTGATTAATTTTAGAAAATTTTGATGTGTTTGTTAATAATAACTTGTTTTAGTAGCTGTATTTTGGAGATTATACTTGGTTAAGTTTCGATACTATAGGTAAATTGGGACTGGCTATGAACAAAGTAAAGTTTTGTCAAAACTTTACTCATGATCACATGTTCTTAAAATGGTATTTGGTAAAGGGTTTCACATATTTTTCATCTTTAATTGGAGCTGCTGTCTGATATTCTAAGAAATAACCGTTAGTATTTACTGAGTACCAGCAGAACGCAGAGAATCAGAGTGGGTGCTGTGATGACTTAGAAAGGAAGGAGAGGATTCTTAAACAAGGGCAGGTAAGACAGGTGCACCGGAAGGGAATATTTGCATTTGTCAAGGAGGTGAAAGAATACTGAAGTGGAAATGGTGTTTGGAGCCAGATGGAATTGCTGTGTGTGTTGGAGAAGCAGGCGGGAACACACATTAGGGGAAGCTTTGAGGTCTTCATAGGTCAAAAATAGTAAATAGGTTTGCCTGGCTGGAGCAGAGAACAAGACCGATGACAGAAGGTAGAGAGGATCTAGTTAGTGGAAAACTTGAACCACATGATAGTGATGTTAATCATTGGCCTCAAGAAGAGTGGTTCTCAGCAGGGTGTGGTTTTGCCTCCCAGCAGACATTTGGTGATGTCTGAAGACATTTTTGCTTGTCAGAGCTGGAGGCAGGTGCTACTGACATCTAGTGGGTAGAGGCCAGGAATCCTGCTGAACATCTTGCGAGGCCCAGCTTATTGCCCCCCAACAAAGAATTATCCTGTCTAAAATGCCAGTAGCTCCAGGGTGGAGAAACCCTGCTCAAGTCAGTGCACATAAAGGCTACTGTGGAGTAAAGTTACGTCTCAGAACAGTCCTTTAAAAGAAAATGGTTCTTGACATGTGCGGAAAGACATTGAGGTTAGGAGGGCAGTCTAGGAGACTTGCTGTGCTCGGGCCCCATGTGGTCAGGATCTAGGCAGATCCTAACAAGAAGAGGGGGCGTTTTTGAGATCATAGCAGATGAGTTAGCAGGGCAGTATAATATTGGGCAAATGGAGAACTGGAATTTTAGAGAGGTCCTAGTCGAACGTGAGTGCATTTTTACAATTGCTAGGCAGCCTCTGTTTAAATTCCCAAGGAACAGGAAATTCTGTTAAATGTCCTCACTTAATGTCTTCAATGCGTTCTGCAACTTTAAGTGAGACGGTAATATGATGAAGATTGTTTTTACCATAGGCTAAGTGATATAAATAAGACTTTTCATTCCCTACAGTATCTTATCAGTGTTACAGTGAAACAACTTTGAATAAAACAATGTCATTCGAGGACCTGCTGTACTTTTGAAGGCATGCCATTGTGTCTTTGGACCATGTGCATGGTGATGGTTTGAGCTGAAGACTGCCTGGTGTAACAAAGTGCATTCTGTTGATTCTGTTCCTCTGGAACTACCCACCTGCACAGCAGCATAGATAGCCCTTTAGTGCACAAAAACAGTACGATGTCTCCATGCAATGAACTTTTCTCAGTGCAAAACAGTCCCAGCCCTTTTCACAATCCCACATGGTACGTGGTTTCTAGGTGTCCCCTCAGTGTGTTAGCATCTCGGAGAGTAAGGGGGGTCTGGAATTGAATAATTGAGGTGTGATCTAGTCAGCCACCAGCACAGTAGGACAGCTCTTTTCCTGACACCAAAGCATAGGCATCTACTTACTACAGCTTAACCTCACATTACTGCCCTTGAAAAAAATGAAAAGCAGTGTGTAGCACAGACTCATGTATACATTCTGGGTAGTCAGAACTCCCAGATACTTGTTTTATGAGTTGCTCCATTTTACATTCATTGGGCAGATTTGTGTGTGTGAGGAGTTGAGTGGAAGTCTTGGTTTGTTTTGGTCCCTGTTCAGTGCTGTCCTGTTTATTTTGGTTCCTTGCTCAGACCTTTTGAGATTTTAGGGTTTCGATTCTGTCTTCTAATCAATTGAGAAGGAAGTAGAAGATGACTTTGCCCAAAGCTTTGTTGTCACTAGTATTAATACTACATGAAACCTAGTGGTTTGTCACTGCTGCTCCTATTTGAGAGCTGGAGTGCCAGGTGATCGAAG